ATCTCGCAAAAACCGCTAAATAATCGGTTTATAGTAGGTACTTACTAATTTAAAATCATGAATCACGTTCATCGTAGGAGTGAATCACATGATCACAACATGAACTGACTCATACTGTTTTATTATATGTAGTTTGAAATGAGAGATCAATCACCTGCATCGGATAATTGATTATTGCTCGATGTATGTCACATACGTACATAGTAACAGAAGTTTTTTTTACTATTTGGGGCTTAGAAATTTTGTTTTCGAATTCTATTCAAGAAGACCTTTCAAATGATACCCCACATGCCATAAAAGGTACGTAAAAATTTTTGAAGTAAAACTTCTTTACACTCATCTGCTACAAATTCGTAAAAAGTGTGGACAAATGGCATAGTTATTAAAGAAGTTTATTCAAAAAATTTAAATTGTGTTTTTTTTGCAAGTTTGGGTGTCGTTTGAAAGGTTCTTTTGACGATGATGATGTTTATCCACTTTTAATGAATTTGTAGCGAACGAGCTTAAAGAAGTTTTACTTCAAAATTTTAAATTTGGGCATATTGGGTACCGTTTGAAAGGTTTTTTTGAATAGAATCCGAATACTAAATTAACTATGAAGTTTATCTACTTTTAATGGATTTGTAGTAACGAGCTTAAAGAAGTTTTACTTCAAAAATTTCAGATTGTATCTTTTATGGCATGTTGGTATCGTTTAAAAGGTCTCGACGAGTAGAATACGATTTTCACAAAACCGTGATTGTATTGTAATAAAAACTAAAGTAAAAACGGTATTGTAAGAAATGAAAATGTTATATTTTATTGCAAAAAATATTAGAATTTTAAAACTCACTGATTATTTTCTTCAAATATGTCAAGTGTGCTACTTATGTAGCAAATACTAAAACTAACCATGTGATTTGTCCACAAAATATATACTTTTTACGAATTTGTAGCAGAGGAGTCTAAAGAAGTTTTACTTCAAATATTTTATGATTGCTAGTATTATGGCATGTGGGGTATCATTTGAAGGTCTTTTTGAATAGAATCCGAATACAGAAATGAGTTCCAAATTTCTAAAAACTGAAAATTTTTACACTTTTGTGCAAATTACAAAGAAACGGCTCCTTGAGATGTCCGCATTTTTTCACGTTTTCGAGCGCGCGGATCAATCGATTTGAATGGTTTAAAAAATATTCAATCCCTATTGATTGTAGAAGAATTATTAGTTTTTGGCAAAGGCAGGTCCAGCTGTTACGGAGATACAGAGCAAAGAGTGCAGAAAATACAAATCGTGTTTTTGAGAGAACGGAGTATCAGATCTGAATGATCTAAAAAAACATTCAATTTGTAATGATTGGGAGAAGAAGTGGTTATATTAATTTTTGGGCAAAGATAGGTCCCGCCATTACGAAGATACAGAGCTAAATGTGCAAAAATGGCAATTTGTAAAAAACTTTCTGTTTGTATTGACAAAACAATTACTTTTAGGATAAAAAATTATTACATCTTTTTTAATTTCCATAAAATATTTTTGTAATTTTGGCTTAAAAATTCAAAAAACTACCCAGGCTAAGCACAGTCTAAGCGCCACTCTGGTACAAACGTTTACCCAAGTGCGTTTAGACTGTTTATGTACTGGAGAACTTTTTCAATTTTGTGAAAACTATTGAAAAATGCGAAAATGCCGCCAAGCTAAGCACAGTATAAGTGAAAATGTCGCACTGAATATTTGCAAATGCGTTTAGACTGTGACTATGCGGGAGCACTTTTTCAATTTTGTGCAAAATTAGGCAACTATTTTTGTTTTGAAATTGAATTCGAAATGAAATGACGATTGTTAATGTTCTGGAGATAAATAGATTTATTTATAATTTACATTTGATTTGCTCAGATATAACAAACAAGATAGCAAAAATAATGAAAGTTCTACAGTATTTGTAATAATATATTTGAAAACGTTTAAAATTTCTCGAACATTTTGTTACGATTCCAGCAATTTCCTTAAGGCACGTTGCCATACACCACTAGTTTTTATTCTCTGACGACGCAACAAGTAGACTATTGATTTCCTTAAATTGAATTAACAAATATGATTCTTTTTCCCTCTTCAGATGGAGGTAGCAACAAATCGTCATCAGGCACGCCTCCAAATCTGGCGGCGCCTTCAACATCGAACGCAAGTACAAACGGTGGCCCCTCTTTGACCGAATTGTGTGCCCGCTTGCGTCGCCTCTCATATCCCTTTCGAACTGTTGGAAAGAGTGTTTCCTCCGTTTCCGGAACAACTGCAGCTAAGGATCGCCTTCTGGTCTTTTCCTGATAACGAGGAAGACATCAGGCTGTATCGTGTTTGGCCAACGGCGCCGACGAATTCCAGAGAGGAGACACTTGTTTTCGGATCAAGGCGGTTAAGGATCCTCTCCAAATAGGTAATAATAATAATAATATATATCTTATATATAAAAATGGAGCTCTCTTTCAAATGTCTAAGTAAAACTCGAAAACGGCTAACCCGATTTGGCCACTCTATCTTAGTCTGAAAAATTGTGCCAATCCAGAGATGGTCGGATAGGTGAGATATTATTTCAAATCGCGTAAAACTTTACATTTTTAATTTGAACATTTTTTGTAGAAGCCTAAATTGAATAAAACAATGGACGGTGGCTAATACTTCAAATTCAAACGTTTTCAATTGATTGTTAAACGTTTTTCAGATGATGTTCAATTGCGTTAATAGGATGTTTCACGTGAATATTATTTGATTATGATTAAATTGTAGTAAGTAGTTTTGTTTGTAGTTTTATTTATATACAAAAACGTTAGTAAACGAGCCGCAAGTGTTACTAGGACTCAAAATATCAACTTTTTTGAAATGTTAATTTAAAA